CTTAAATCAGAAGAAGATGGATATTCATGTAAGTAGACTCTGTTTTAGAATTGAACAGCTACTATGCTTATTTCTCCAATGTTTACAATTGATTATTATTTCATGAGTTCAATTCTCAAGCAATAGTAACTGCTGCTTTTTAAAAAGTTTAAGGCAATTTTACTACAGTGGGAATATATTGAAATGTCAGAAACTAATGTACATGGTAATTGATTGATTTCATATTGTCATGCTATATTTAGACAGTTATAAACATTGCTAATCTAATGTTTCAAGGTTCTTATGAACAATTAGTGATCACATATTAGCATCTCAAACACTCAAGAGTATCCCGACATGAGCCCTAAAATCCTAAAAGGATACTTAGGAAAAAAAGAAAGAACAAGACAGAACTTTTCCAGGAGGGAGGCTGCCCAAAGTCAGCAGCATCATCAGGGAGGGACACAGGGCTCTGTAAGCAACTTGCTTAAAATAGTTCGCTTACTATTGTACATCTTTTTCCACTAATGAGGAACCCGGCTGTTTATGTGGCCTTTCCAGTTTCCAAGGGTACTTTCTCTTACCTTTGAGGACTGTTAATGATCAAATGAGAGTGTGTTTGGGCACCCAAACAGGAATACAGACATACTTTCATTTGAAAATATTTAAATGCCTCATGCATACTGACTTCATTGATGCTTTTTGTGCATATAATGAAAGTCAATTATCTGTGGAGAAAACTTGACTGGGTGGAAGGAAATGAAATTGTTTTTTAAAGACTTCTTTAAACAGTAGTGGCTAGGGAAACGTCCAATAACATTTTGATTCAGATTGTAATGGCTTTTCCATGTTAATAAATGACACCTCATCCCGACTTTCAGCAAAAGATTTGGATGGGCAAAGATTTCATAGGGCAGAAACTTAAGCCTGGAGCTCTTCCTGTGAGGTTCTTCCTGTATCAGGACACCACCAGTTGCTGTAAATCTCTTTCTTGGAGAAGCCAGATTGGTCCTATTTCACTCAAATCTCTGACTATAGAATAATGGGTATCTATTAAGAAAAACTTCCAAAATTGGAATTCCTGAAGGAAATGTTTGTTCTAGACTGTTCTATTTCTTTAAAAAAAAAAAAAGGATTATGCAAAGATACAAAGTAAATGTAGCGAAATCTTTTCCATTTTTTTTTCTTCCCTTGACTAATCCCCTTGTGGGAGTTTCTTAACTTCTGTGAAACGCTTTTGTGTTGGATATCAACTCTCATCAGTCAGTTTCATGTTGACTTCTTATTCATTGTGCTGGAAGTCTGGGAGTACTTGGAAACACATTTACAGGAACACAGAACAACATATTGTTTCATTTACACATGTTACAATGCAAATGTTTCCTATTGCTGCCACTCAAAATATTAACATTCTCTCCCCTGTGTGTGTGTTCACTGACTTGACTTCCAGCAGCTACTTTAGAATAAGGAAGGCAGAGTGTGCTGCCATTATTTCAAAGCATCCTACTGCTTACTAACTGATGAATAAAAAATACCTCACAGGGCTTTTCTAAAGCCAAGTAGTTATCTCATTTAAACTGTATGGCAGGGAATAGATCAGCTAAATCACAAAGCAGATCAAATCGTGGGACAGTGAAAGAATAATGGGGGTGGGGTGGGAAATGTGTGATTTTGCTTCTTCTAGAACGACTGCGTGCTTTGGAGGGGGTCAGGTACCTCCTAATATTTTCCACTAAATTATCCATGACCTTTTAGAACAAAACTCCCTGAAACAGTATTTTTATCTGACAGTGAATTAAATGGAAACCCAGGAAACCAACCTATATTGCATCCTGGGACTGAAATCCTGCAATGCCTTGGTTTATATTTTATTACATGTTTTCTGAATAACATAGTTGGGTTTTTTATTTTATTTTTCCGTTTTCATTGTCATTTATGCCAATACTTCCCCCTTGTGTCTTGAAGGAATGTTCGCTTTCCTGACTATTGTTCACTAACTTTCAAGAGAGCAAAGTTCTGGGGAGTAGAAGTCACCAGGAGATCTTAGGACACTAAGTAGCCATGGTCTGAAGGGAGTCTCAGAATTTGTTCATTGCTTTAATGTTCTCTCTGTTACAAAAATCTCTACAATCCTGCCATTAATGTGCACCCATCAGAAATCACCATTCCTGACAAGTTTTTACTCCAAATCAGAATTTACTTTGTAATCTCAAATCAGCCAATGTAGATGAGACAGGGACTTTTAATTAGAATTTTAATATGTAATCTAAGCCATTTGTAGATTGTGCACAGAGGTGATTTTCTATGTATCTAATAGCTACATGGAGAACTTAGATAATGTTTAATTTGGTGGAGAGACTATTTTTACTTAACTGGAGTTGAGTTACTTCAAGCATTCCTGAAGAGTCCTTCAGAAGTCACAGCAGCATGGGGTTTATTGTGTGAATGAATAACTGAATCAGACTGTGGCATGTCCTGAGGGGGGGGAGATTATAAAAAATTGGAATATTCTCTAATATAGTAAATACATTATGTTTCCTTCCACATCTCTTCTGGCAAACTCCATTTTGGATCTCTCAGATCAAGCTATGTAGACACCAAGAGTTAATACTTAACATCAGAAGACCTAGAGTATCCCTGGCTGCTGTGGAGGGTAGGGCCCCACACTCTCCTGTGTTTAGATTTTACAAATCCAGCACATGGCAGTTTGTTTTTCCTTTCAAAAAACAGTTGGCACATCCTGTTGGACTCTTACTTGAAGTGACTTATTTGGCACCTTGGGGTGGCTGTGAAATATAAGCTTAGAGCTAACCTAATGGATTGTAGGTTGACACAGACATCCTAGTAGTAACTTTAAGGAAAAACAACAACACTAAGATCTTTCCCCAACTCCAAAGCATATAAAAATGTGTACCCGGCACAAATTCTGAAACCCATTGAAGCCCAGCAGACACACATATGTGCCTACACTCTCCATAGTATATTCTGTTTTGTGTTTCCCTGTGCATATGACTCCCATTAATACTGATAGCACTCTTCACCCGCACCCAGAACATGGTGCCCCCTGACTGTGCAAACTCTCCGTATTCAAAAATGTGAAGAGCTGAATATTTGAAACCAGTCTGGCACACCAAAGCTAGTTTTCGGAAGAGAACAGAAGAGGAACAGAAAGATCAAAAGGGGGAGGGTATAAAAGATAACGTCTGGATAGGGGCTGGGTAATGCTCTAATTAAACGCCCTTGCTCCTGCGTCTTCTCATGTGCTCAGGAGTGAGAGGCTACATGTCCCTTCTAAACTGCAGCCTTAGGGGCAGCACTAAGAGCTTGGAATAGGTGTCACCTCTGCTGAGATCCAGGGCTCTTCTGTAGGAGGTCCTATCGTCTACCTTCCTTGCTCTCATTGAATGGGCTTCTGCTATTTTGCTACTAAGATAGTCATAACAAAGTTGTTCATTGACCAAACCGAGAACACATTCTTTAAAATGGGCTTAAGGAAAAAAATCAGATTACGCACAGAGAAGAAATGAGCCACAAGATCGATCCTCTTGTTTTCTTCTTGGCTTACACGTTAACATTAGGTGTGTTAGTAAGAAAATGTTCATACTTTTTCTCTTGGCTCAGGTGAAGTCAGCTGGCATCCTGGGTCTAAGAGAAGTCCCCTGTGTAGAGAACCCAAGGTGGTCTTTTCAGATGTCACCAAGTTAAGCAATTTTCACTTCTGGGTTTCTAAAGCCTGTATTAACTGCTCAGAGTCCTAGTTAAATCAGCATGGCTCAACAAGGTTTCAAAATGCTGGAATTTAGGAGAAGAGCCACTATACTTTTTAGTGCCCCCTATCCCCATGTAGAGTTTTCTAAAACACCCTGATGTAATCTAGTTTGCTTTTAAAAAATAAATAAAGCAACCCCTAAGTGCTGGGAGAAGCTGTTCGGCAGCACATAGCTGTGTTCTACATGTCTCATTACCATTAACAGCCATGCATGACTAAATCTCCTTCTATTGCTCTGAGTATTTACCCTCTGGCTTTGTAAAGTGATGCCTGAGTGTGGATTTTACAAAGGAATTTCATAACCCTCTCTGCTCTCCACAGCGTACCTACTATTCCAGAATATGCACAGTTTTCCTTGGGGAAATTCTGGCAACAAGGAATGACGTTCATTGTAGGGAAAGTAGAGGGCTCCTAGTGAGTCTTTTCTTGTCTTAACTCGGTGACCAGCTACTTTTCTTTTATTCATTTTCTTCCCTATTTTCCATTATTGTCATATAACCAAGAGCAAAGCTTCCGTTTGCACCCTATGAAGGAAAACCACTCAATTAATACACACAGGTAAAAACTAGAACACAGTGTGGTCTGCTGAGGTCTAGGAGTTTAGAGAATCAAATGTCCTGTCTGGATCTTCAGGCCCACCAAGGAGAACGGGGAATAAGTGATTTTTCTCCGAGCTTCTGTAATTTTGCATGATTTAGGCATTGGTGAGGAACTGGAGATGAGAGATATTTGAGGGGACTCTTGAGAAAACAGTAGAGCTTATTAAAAAGGGGGGGAGAGGGGCACCAAAATGAGTCCAAACCCTAGGGAAACAGATTACTGGGGTTGGCTTTTATAGAGAATTCTTAAATGGGCTTTACCCCTGTGCTCAAGCCTGGGACCCTCTTGGTTTAGGGAACCCCATCTGTGCTGGGACATACATATCTACAGTCAGGATATTTGAAATAACCTTGATTTTCATCGTCCTTTTTGAATAGACAGCCCCGCTCATGTTACATGTCCAGGTTTTTCTCTTACACGCTGTCTTCTTCTCATCTAACCCTTCATTTCTTCCCAGAAAAAGAAGACATTTACCATCAAATGCAAATTTCAAGACTAGTAGCTAAAGTCCCTCTTTGTAAAAGATGCAGGTTTAGTCCCTGCCATGAGACGCGCCCCCCCCCCTTCCCCAGCCTCAGCCCCAGTTATTTCTCATGGGTGATGACAAGACCTGTGCTTCTCAGCAAAAGGCACTAGTAAAGAAGGAGTTAAAATGAAGGCAGGCTCGCTGGTTTGCTGAGATCTGTCACAGGCTGACTGGCTGGCTACATATCTGTCTCTGGAACAATAGGTACCTGTATTCTGCACGGGCTGCTGGGCAGCGCTAGCACTCTGGAGAAGGTCTGCCTCTGTCTGCGCCTTCCTGGTGAGAATCCCCAATGACAGCCCTACTTTTTAGAGGAGGGGAAAAAAAATAGCTGTCGACTGTGTTGATGAAGGACAAAGCTTTGATCATTTTTGTCCTGGTTTCACTTGGCTAGAGGTTTTAGGTTCCCAGTCTCAAGTCAGTAGTTGTGCTCGCTTGCTTTCTTTCTTAGTCTCTCTCTGTTGCCTTCTCTCTCTCTCTCTCTCTCTCTCTCTCTCTCTCTCTCTCTCTCTCTCTCTCCTCTCTCATTTTCTTTCTGCCACCCTTCCTCTCTCATTTCCCTGCGTAGGTTCAATGCAGGCAGATGAGTGTCCCAGCTGTAACTGAGGCACCGAGTAATCAACATATCGGAGGAGCCAGTTCCCGTGATGGCAAGAGGGGGAACCGGAGGAGGTGACCACAATGACAAGAACATTCTTCTAACAAGTTTTAGGTAAGAACACATTTATATGCAATTCTTGCATTTCTGTATCTTTATGACTGAGAAAGACATTTGTGATTGAAAAAGGAAGTCTCTATAGGGAAATGTATTTAAGAGGGCATCTTCTCTGCCGTCCCTTGCCTGGGGAACCTGTCTGTGTTCACACAGGGCTTTGTGTTACTAGAATCTTCAGAGGTGAGGTGTGAGCAGGGCTGGAGGAAGGGTGAGCTGCTTTTTATGTCTGTGTGGTGACATTTATCATGCTGTTTAAATCTATATCTGTAAAAAAAGAATTTCTGTTTGACAATAGTAACGTTTTGTGCAAGGGGGAGTCATATGTTTGTGCAGAATTCAAGCGATGTTCTTTCATTCTTAATTTGTAATTATTTTTACACTCAACTGTACTGAGGTCAGAGACTTTTAAAAATTAATGAGATTCCCTGTGGAGTTCAAATAGTAATATCTGTGCAAGCCTCCACAAAGAGCTAAGATTAGGTTGGTATATTTTTGCCATAGACTTGGCTGTCTTACTTTGAATACATGCCATTTGAAACATATGCAGGGTACAATAGTTTCTGGGAGCTGATGTGATTTGGAGACCAGCCCTTAATTTATTGTTTAGTGACTAGGAGACATCTAGTCTCAGTTAGGCTGCTGAAGATGAACGCTGTGTGTGGAGACATTCCTAAAACTTCATAGACATTATTGTCATGACAATAGAGGATGTCTTGGACTTTCGAGGAAATAGCAAATGATGAATGAGGCACCTGCTTAAAAAAAATCTGCAAATGTGTTTTTATTTTAAGTACCATGTAAAAGCTATGTAGGATCAAAGATTGCTGGTATGAACAAAGAGGCAAGGATCCACACAGGTGAAAATTCTTTGTCACAAAACGAGTCTAGAGCGTGGATTCGGGGCAGTAAGTGATTCTTTTATCTTCATTTTTGCGCCATAAAGGTAGTTCACTGGGTGAGTCCAGGCATTTTAAAAGGTGCCTAAGAACTTTCATTTCCCACAATTTAAAAACATTGTTTGTGTTCGTGGTGCAAGACACTGTTTATATGAGGGGCTCTGCAAAGCAGCATCTGGGTTAAAGATGTTTTCCTCCCCAGCTCCCCATTTACAAGATCCATTCAGGTCTTCCTGTGATATATTGTTATGTAAATACTGTTCGGCCAGGGAAAGCGGGGCTATGGAGATTCAATTTACTTTGAAAGTTGTTCATTATAGCAAGGATGAATGTTATTTATTTGATACGATTCAGAGGCTGGAAATGACTTTTTCATTGTGGTACCTTTTGTGATGGGTGCAGGGCGATCTAATCTTTTTAATTTTGGCTTTCACACCAGTGGAGATGAAAAGAGATCTGAACTCATTTATCGGTTGCTAGGTCCTTCTGGAAGCCCACGTTCTGCTTGTGGTTGCTATGGCCAGCCTGACCTCAATCTCTGTGGTTTGAAGGACTTAAGCAGTCTTTTTTTTTTTTTAATTGAGGAGCATGTACCTTGATTTATGTCCAAAACTGTAGCTGAAAGTCTTTGTCTGTGGGTGATATATGGTGCAGAACAATTCATCAGTTCTTACGAGTAAACACCGCTGTCCCACTAAAAATATGTTTTGTTCGGAGTTAATGGTATGGAACAAGGCATTCTCCGCAAACAGCTATCTTTTATTGTGTTGGGGCCGCGGAAACGCTGAGCAAAGTGCAGGAAATTGGCATCGGTCCTCGCGTCTATTAGCATTTCATTTGTGAGGCGCATGATGAGACGGTAGGTGGACCGAGGGAGGCAGGAAGGGTGCTTCGCTGTCCTCTCTTTCTCAACTGGGGCCGCCCTGGCGGGTAGCCGCACGCCAGGACCGACTAAGTCAGCGTTAGTTCCTCTGAGCCGGTGAGCGTCGCTTTGCCCAAGCGCTAAGGCACAACCCAGGCGGACGAGCTCGGTGCTAGGGATCTAGGGATCGGTACTGTAGGCTGGCTCTTTCCGGGAAAGTTGCTGGGTCCGGTATCGGCAATCCCCAGGAACGTAGTGTTTGTGTGCTACTGAATGGACCCGGGTCGCTTGCTTTCTAGACCCTTGTTAGAAAGGAGCCTGGGTGATTCAGGGGCTATGGAGAACGCAGCCCCGTTCAGCAGATGAGCCCGCGTACAGTCCTGCTCCCTTAAAAACTGCTAATTGACGGATGCTGCGGGCAACACACACAGCAAATAAGATGATGAGGAAGAAATGGGAATTAGGAAAGGCATGTATTGCCACTAGGACCTTCTCAAAGCGGCTTGGTAGGTTTGAGGTTTGGGTTTTTTTTTTTTTAAAGTAATATGTTAATGGTTTTTATTCTAAATCGGCCAGCACTGACTATCCTCCGGAAAATGGGATCCAGGAGAAGCGACGCCCTCCTCGAACTGAAAGGTAAAAGAAAAAAAAAAAATCAACGTTTTTTTCAAACATTGCATGTGCTTTTTGCTAGGAGCATTGGGAAAACTGCTTTCTAAATATGACTATTTAAATTCTGAATAGTTTTCTTTTAGCGTATTAGGCTTGAAGAGAACCAGTTGGAATTTTATTGTTAAGTCATTTGCAAAAGACTGCCTAGCTTTTGTTAACCAAGTGCAATCAGGTGCCTCCTATGTTTCTTTTCAACCTTGGGAATCCAGAGCTGTTGATAGCTTTGGTGTCCATCCTCATGGGGGTAGGGGTGGGGGTGTCAGTAAAAATAATCTTTACTTTGTGGAGATGTTATTGTTAGAACTAGCAAACTTCAGCCAGAGCTACAGCATGTCACAGCTCTCTTCTGGCTTGAAAATTCTTTACAGGGTCCTAGTTTTCCAAAGCCAGGGTAAATAAGATGCTTTTATTGTTTAATTGTTCAACTCCTAGCTGAGAATCTTTCAAAAGTTCTGTGCTGCCTTGCTGGAGTAATACATGGTGGCTTGAAATAATTTTGAAATAATTGATTTTTTTTTTCACAAATTTTTTTTTCAATTGCTCTATGTGTGCTTTGTGAGCCTCAGCTTTGCTGAGCTGAGCTCTGGCTCCCTTTGCTTGGGTTTCTGGCTTCAGGTCTTCTCGAAGGCAGCATTTTTCTGTGAGTCATTAATTTCAAAAGAAATATTTAATTGTAGGTATCTGAAGACAAATACATCCTGGTACGTATATAAGCGTATTGTTGTAATGTAAGATGTCAAAAATTTCACGTTGTGTTTTGCTTTGCTATTATTGCAGAGGATTTTAAGTGAATCCTGGATAGCACTCCATTTCCAGAAACGATTCAATTCACTCTAAAGAATCTGGGGAAAAGGCCTGTAATGACATTTTGATGACTTTCATTTTAAGGTGTAATAGTATTGAGTAAGATATTTTAATAGCGACTCTCTAATATCTCACTCCAAATGCTATGTTTTTATTGCTCATTCTAGCTTGCCATTTTCTGGTGCTATTAATGTTGGCTGGTAATTGTTTTCTTGTATGCAGGAATCATTTTATCCTTATGTAAAAGTTATTTCAGGAAAGTCTTACTGCCTTTATCTCAGCTCCACTCTTGAGATGAAACAGTATTTCCAGCTTGCATCTGCTTTTACTTGTCATATCCTAATGATTCTTAAAGGAAGGAGTTCTCAAGATGATAGCCCGTGGTTTAAAGAGCAGTCAGAAAATGACATGCAAGTCAGAGGAGACTGAGAAACAGAAGAAATGACTGATGTGTGCATGTTTTTAAAATTTTAAATTAGACTAAGAAATAATGTCCATAAATATGCAGACATGATATGTTTTTTATTAATAGGTAAATGCAGATATATCAGCTTAATGAGATTCCAGTTAATGTTACCAGGAACATCTTTGCACTTCAATTCTTTCGGGAGCTGTACACACAAGTAGAGTTAATCACGTAGCTTTTACAGAATAAAAGCCTTTGGGACCTGAAGTTGTGACACAGTGGATCAGTTTTCATGGAATTCAAATGAAATCCTTACATCAATTTTTCCTTTGCAAGTTACACAGAGTCAATTGCTTCTAAACTGCATTGTTCTAAATGCTAATTTGGAATTAAAAATACAATTTAACTTGATGTGAGTGAATATTTAAAGTCAGAATATAATCCTGCTGAATGAATACACCATTAGTTCCATTTTTTTCATCAAAATAAAATTAAACTCTCATATCTGATTAAATTATTCCATTCTTGTGATATATTTGAAAATATCTTGGCATCTGCTTTATTTTTGTAAATAATATTCTTTTTCAAACATCTTTGCTATAGTACAGCTGGGTACTAAGAGAGTATTTTTTCATTGCTGATTTTGTCTTTTGTCTTTTGCTGTATCATTATTCTTACCTGTCTTCTAGAAAGATGTATTGTCTTTGAGGCTATTTACCTAACCTATTTGTCAGACTTCAGGCTGAAAATTGGCCCCAAACTTGTCTCATTAGAGATTGTGTTTGAAATATCAAAAGGTCTGAGTTTGGTCTTGGAATATTGTTATTCAAAGGGTTCTTGGAATGCATTTTCCTGGCAGTAAGAAGTTCCTTGTGTCATTCCATTAAATATTTCCTTAAGCTACCTTAGTTTATTTTTTCCAAACAATATTCTCTAGTAAAATGGTTACAGAATGTTAACTGCCAGGGGATGGGCCTTCGGAGATAGCGAGTGAAGACATCATCCCAAGTAACTATTCTAGCAGGTTGGCAAGGATTCATGATAAAGTTTTATCTACAGGTTTGTATTGCATCATGTTCGTGAACCCACGACAGATTTTAATTTTCGTGGTCACCAATGATACTAGAATGGTTTAAGAAAATAAAAGTTATATTTAAAGCTTAATCGTCTGCGACTTACTAAAAAAGAAATGCTCAGACTTTGGAAAGCAAAGATTGTATTAATGGTGTTTCTAATCTGATTAAGTTATTCTTTTCTCCTGATCTATTTCTTGGGAGATGGCTTTATACATCTGTAACGACCTTGAGTCCTTCTAACATTGCTAGACTTTATGATTTTCTAATAATACTAGCAAACAGAACATTTTGCATCCTTAGTAATGTCTCTAAGTCACATATTGATGTCCTTGATGTTTCTTGACATTATTTAGCCATAGTACGTTTGTCATGTATAAATCCTTGAATTTCCCTCATTTTTCTGACAATTGAGTTCACAGTTCAAATGCAAATCCTGAAATAAATTACTAGGCTAGGAGTCTCCTTAGAGACAGAAAGATAAGGTCACATGTAGTGAATAGGAACATATGGCATAGAGTTAATCATCAAAATCTTAAAGATGTTAACATAGTTTCTTATAGACCTTTTGAAAAATACTGATTTTACAGGATGTATTTGAAGAATTCAATTTACTAGAAGTTTCAAACATGGAAATCAGACATACGTTTAAAAACACCCTTTCATAGTGGGTTTAGAAAGTGTTTGTGCCTTCCGTTAACATTCTTTACTGTTTATAGTGTGTTCACGTGTCACCAGTGATTAAGTAATCAACAATATCTGTTTTTCACTATTATAGGCACCTTAGTAGATGTACATATATCATCTTGGAACGTATTTCTCATGATGATGTTTTAAATGCTTTAAACATATCACACAAGCACATACACACACATAAACACACACACACACACACACACACACACACACACACACACACACACACACACCAGTTTAGAAGAAGTTTAGATAGGTCAGTCAGCACGCACCTCAGGAAGTCATCTTACTGATGTATATTTAAACATATTATCTAAATGTATCCTGTCTCTCCAAAGTTAAGATCTGCGACACAGTGTACACTAAAGAAGTTTCCCCTTCCTTTCCTCTTCCAATGTTTCTTACACTATGTTGAGACGTTAAATTATAATCTACTATTTAAAGAAATTCCAGTTCTGGTTATTAATGTCTAACACTTGTTCATTATATGCGGCTCTAAGCCCTTTTCTTTCACTATCTAATCTTCTTAATTACTTGTAAGAAAGATATCACCACATTCCTTTTGCAGATGAGGAAACAAAGGTTTTGAGAAGTTAGATAATCTCCCCCAATGTTATAGAACGCGTAAACAGCTATGATGACTTAAAGCCCAGGTTCTTCAGGTTCTATTAAATTTTCTGGTCATTCAACAAATATTATTGAGCCCTTGTAATGTCTTAGACTTGTTGAAGACACTCAAAATAAAGGTGTAGCTTTAAAACCCTTGGGCTCAGTTGCTCCAACCTCTGCCTATAGGGTAAGGGTACCTCATAGCCACCTTAACATAATGATGATATCTCCTTTGCATCCAGTGATTCCCTTGAGCCAAAGGAATGCAATCATAAAACATCTACCCTTTTCACATCTCTTACCACATAGCTTCAGTCCTCCTTTCCAACTGCATCAACATCTGTTTCTAAACAGGATTTCTACACTGGAAGCCCATCTTCCTCATTACCCCAGTACAGCTTGTTTTGCATTTTCCCGCATTATCCATGTACCCCAAACAATTTTCCAGTGCTCTTTCAAACAGTTCCCCTGCTCTCTAGTGCCCAAGAAAGAATTTGTGGATCCCAAGAAACCTGTCTTAGAAATGTCCTCAAATGTTCTTATCCGCTGTGACCATTTGACCCGTGACGTTTCCAACAGCTAAGGTGAAATGAAACTGAAAAAGGCTCCTCTCATCTCTGCTGTCAGTGTTTGTGGATATGCCCAGTTGACAAGTTATCAAAGACTCCAGGAAAGCAGCATGAAATAAAGGAAGAAAGTCAAAAGTGTAGGGCTGAAAAGCTCGAGATTCAGTGCCCTGCTACCTACCTAACACAATGCTCAGTGCCCGAACAATATCCCATCACACATCACAAAGCACATATTCCATCACATACCACATAGCACATATCCCATCCATGCTTAGGAGGGTGAAAGAGAGGAAAAAGATAGTGACCACTGGTGGAGGTTTAAATTCAGAACTCAACATCTTTAAAGTCTTTCAAATGTTTCCATCTTGGTTATAGACCACATCAAGGATCGTACAGGTATATACAATATAATAATCTTCAACTACATTTTGCTTCTTCTTGGGATAAGCTGCCCTTTCAAAACAACATTTGTACATTTGATATGGGATGAACATCTGTTGTTTCTAAGAGAAAATGCAATGGTGACATGGTGATACTCTGTCACTCAGTCCACAGTGCAGATGACACATACTGATGTGGTTGGATCCATGGTTTTACTCTACATATGATGATGCTTCTATTATCTGGGGCATATTTCACTATTATAAAAGTTGCTCCTCACCCCCACCCTCACCTCCACCCAAGAGCCATCTCTTTAACCATGTTAGATTTTACCTTCAATTAAAAGTTAAATTCAATCTTCAAGGAGCTGATGCAAAAACTTTCTATTAACCATCAGCTCTTAAGGTTATTTTTATTTATGGTTTT